CGGCACCACCAGGCGCCCGGAGCCCAGCGCCCTCCTTTCTTCCCATTTAGGGCCCCCTCCTCTTGCTCTTCCACCCGCCCCACCCGCCGCGACCCAGCCACGACCCCGCGAGGGGACCGCGACGGGCCCGGCGGGCACGGAGGGCCTCTCCCCTGTCGGCGGCGCCCCGGCGGCCACCGCCGGCCGACGCCTCCGCTCGGCTTCCCGCATCGGGGACGTCGCCCTGTCCCTCAAATCGGGCCGCACCTCCGGGAACGGAGACACGGCCCGGTCCACCCGCTCCTTGCGGGCCGGGGTCACGCTTCGGCCTCTATCCTTTCCCTCTTCCTTATTGAACATCTCTCCCGCTCTCCATAACAGTAACTCGTCCTCTATATCGTCCCTTTCCCTTCGACATGCTATCTTCTCTTCTCTTTCTCTGTCTGCCTCGTCCTGCAACCTTTTCACCTCTTTCATGTACAGCTTTTCCCAATCCTGGCACAACTTCTGCGCTGTCGCCCGCCTCCCCTCCAGCTCTGCCAGCTCCTCATCCTTTCCCTTCAGCATTCTATCCCTTTCCAAATCCTTCTTCCTTGTTGATTCCCAGTATTTCCTCGCTATGTCGCACACTTTTATTATGTCCTCACAATACCGTCTCATGTCATTCTTCCCATTCACTATCTTGTCCTTTTCAGTCCGACTCATCCTCTTACTTCTCTCACACACATCATCAATCATCCCAGAACAATCCCTTATCCATTCTATCCTTTCCAAAACAAATTCCTGACATTTCCCCCAATTCCGACCTTCAGGCCATCCCTCCTTTTCCTTTTTTAAGTCCTTCTCTTCCTCCTGCTCCTCAAATCCTGGCCCACTCTTTTCCTCGTCCTTGTCCAATTTCCTCCTTTTCCCTGTTTCCCTCTCCCCTGCAGCTGACCCCGCGCCTCCCCTTCCCTTGGCGGCCTCACGAGCCACCGCCGCGCACACCGTCGGCGCGCCGGCAGCCCCACCTCCGTCCGGCCCATCATTGGTTGACGACAGGGGGGGGGTCTGGGACCATAGCCCCCCCGTGCCGGCCCGACGTATCCGATCCGCCGGAGATCCTCTCGTTTTTATCCGTCATCATGATTTTTAATGGGGGGCATGACGGCGGCCCCCCAACCCGGGCGGCTTTTAGGGCCGCCCCCCAGGGCGGTTTGGCTCAACGGAGCCTCAGGGGCCCGCCCTGCCCCCGCTGTGGATCCCCGGTGAAATATTCACCGAGGATCTTACTACTCCCGGGCGCAGCTGCCCACCCGGGAGGCCGGTTGCCGTACTGGCATAAGGGACCCGACTGCCCCCGTGGTGAGGTCGGTTCACCCGCACCGGCTGCCCTAAGGACAGCCGGACGCGCTCACCTTCCTCTGAAACTCTCGGGCGCCGCTGCCCACCCGAGAGACCGGTACCATACTGGCATAAGGGATCCGGTTCGCTCCCCTGCTGTAGGCGCCATTGGGCTTCCCTCCCTCTCTGAAGCGAGAAGGAGGGGAGCCCTCCGGCTCCTAATACTCATGGGCGCAGCAACCCACCCATGAGGGCCTTTTAGTCGCCTTTTACGACACGCAGGCCATACGTTGGGGGTATTCTTTACGTCCGCCACCCACGCGGACA